GCACAAATCGGTTTTAAAAGGAGTTAATGTTGAGAGTTTGAGAGTCTTTCTTTTCGATAACACGATATTCATTCTATTTTAAAATTTTCTATTTAGTTTAAAAGAATGTTTTATAACGTAATTTACATATTCTGTCTAAATATATTCAAGCCATGTAGCGCTGACACACTGGGGATTCATTGGTTTGGAAATTGTTACGCTATGTTCAGCTTGTCTTTGATGTGTCGAGAAAAATTTATCAATAAACAACCCTTTACTATGAACTGAAAAGGACTTTTGATTTAAAACTACGATAAATAAAGAAACATGATTTTATCTGTTCTTAACATGAACATAAATTCTTCATTTATGACTAGCTTTTGCCCGCGACTCCGCACGCGTGGAATTAACAAAAAGAAAAAATGAATAGCCTATGTCCAAACTATCCTCTACGTCTATACCAAATTTCATCAAAATCCGTTCAGCCATTTAGGCTACAACCTCTAACAAACATCCATCCATCTAAACTTTCGCATTTATAATATTAGTATGATTATAAAGATCCAAGTATCGATCAACTTACGTAAATGTTAATGAGAACTATTCAATGTTACATTTTAATGTCACTATTTTACATCTATGCATAATGACAGATACGTACCTTCGAAATTAATAAATTCAAAAACGATTGAACAGATTTCAGAACGTATTTTTGCTATTTGAAAGTTTCAGTTCCCAGTAACAAAGGCGGTTATTCCTAGATTGTATTTAATTTCGCAGAAAACACGGACAAAGCTAAAGCTAAGTTGAAAAGAGTGGTATAAATACGTAAACACAATATACAAATGCCTATATTCTAAATAGACATAAATAAACAAAACAGAACAAAAGCTGGACTGGACATTAAGCTGGTCCGTTTCTGAGTTAATATCCAATTCCGGCTGTAAAATTAATCCCTCGAGACCATTAAATAGAAGCGGCTTGCAATTTAGACGTGCATAATTTACGCTTAATTGATCCACTAAAGCCGAATACAAAACATTCGTGTGACCCCTGTGACGACGCAAAAAACGAATTTAACACTAGTACGATAGACTGACAGCACAGATTTATGCCCGGTTGACACTTAGCCAGTACAGTTGGACAGTTGCGAATGCCAGTCAAATAGTATGGAAACACTGGCGCCGGTACGTGAACACTATGCCAATTGATTTACAGACCAGTTATTGAGCGCTACTGACTAACTGAGAACCTAAAAAAAACTAAAATGATGCCGTAAAAGAACGTATATATAACTTATTTACTAATTATAATTCTTAAGGCCTGCTTGTTAATCCAACGTGTAAAATATGTGATGAAAATATCGGATTTTGTTACCTTATTTGACAGTGACGGCATTTTAAAGCTATCTGAGTCTACCAGTGGTGGGACAGGCCCTAAGTAACTTCCGATAGCAAATGTATCAAAAAGGAATACAGAAAAATAGCCGAGAGTTAACGGAAAACGGTGAATCAAGTGAATTATGCAACTTTCAATTTAATAAGTCTATCACTGGAAGTTTTCAAAGAAATAACATTTTATAACGATCAAAAACGTTTCATTAGTCCGAAGCTTTAATTGAAACTTTCCATCAGTGTAATTGAAACTCGGGCTCACAACTTGAAGCGTTCAAGTTAAATTGAGCACTAATTTGATTTGTAACTTATTCGCCAATTAAAAGCTCTGATGGTTACGAACATTTAAACTGAGTACAAACATAGTTTGAGAAAGTAGACGTATGTATAGAAATCTAACATACAATAAAGTAGCTTTTGCTCCCCACTTTGATTGCGTAGAATTAAAAAAATTATACAGTAATAAATGTAGCCTGTTACATTTGTCGAGCCGGCAACAAGGAAGCTATTAGGGAAGGCCTTATCCAACAGTGGGCAGATAAAGGCTGATAGTGATAATAAGGCTTTCTAAAGTAAAGGAATTTTTGAAATCGGTCCAGTAGTTTTTCAGTTTATTAGTTACATACTAAAATACAAATCTTTACTGTTTGTAATCAGTCATCATCACCTTAATTTTTACGACCGGTTACCTGCCTATCGACAACATTATTAAGGAACCAACTAAACTATTATAATAAAGCGTAAACACACACTTCTTTGTTTCCTAAGATGTCAGCAATTACAGCATATTTTTGAATAATTCTTTCTTTAATAAAAAGCCCTACACTTATGTCACGCTTTAGGCTATATATTTTCTTTTCTATTAGGGGTTAAATGTTTTGGATAAAAACCCTAATGTGGGAAAAAGACCATAAGCTGCTGTCAACATCAAGGAAGCCATGTTTTGTCATAATGTCATGTCATTTTTACATTTGCAATTGAATTTGACAAATGTAAACAATAAAACAATTATCATAATTTCATGCGAATGAAGTCGCACGAGAACAGCTAGTTTGGGATAAACCAAATAATCATGGCTAATCATCTAATAAATTCTAGATTCTAATAAAACTTTTAATCCTAACGGAATACAATTGCTTTATTCTGCTTGATAGACTACCGAGTCGTACTCTAAATTCAATAAAAAGCAATTGTTTAATTACGATCGTGTTTTTTCGCTTTCTAAATTATACAATTTGCATGGAGTAAATAATTTTGCATCGCTCGCTCCCTAAGGATGGGAACGGTTATAAAAATTGAAACAGTAATTGATAGGGATTCAAATTGAATAAACTTGTGCATAGTATTTAAAGTGCAAAGACGTTTAAAGGAAAGGTACCAGGCAGAGAAGCTTAAGTCTTAAATAGCTGAAGTATCAAATTTGATACCGGGGTTATAAATCGCAATGGGCTACAATCGATTTTATTTTAATACTAGCTTGTGCCCGCGACACCGATCGTGTGGAATTAAAAAAAAAGTGGAAAGCCCATTGTATGTTCTTTCTGATTCTCTATCAAGATCCGTTTTTCCGTTTAGGCTACAAACTCTAACAAACACTAGATGGGTGTTTGTTAGAGTTTGTAGTTTGAGTTCCATCCATCCATCCATCTAAACTTTCGCATCTATATTATAATAAGACTAGCTTCCGCCCGCGACTTCGTCCGCGTGGAATTAAAATAAACAAAAGTGAGTACTGTGTTATTCCAGACTATCCTCTACATTTACACCAAACATCGAAATCCGTTCAGTCGTTTAGGCTACAAACTCTAACAAATATCCATCCATCTAAACTTTCGCATTTACGATATTAGTAAGATTTTCTTCGTCTATGAAAACTGGGACTTGCTGGTGGCAGCTGGCATAAATCTTTTTAATATCATTACACTCGATTAAAAATATTAAATACTTTTTTTTGGTACTACTTGACTTAAATTTTCGGCCAGTGTTAAAATCTTTAGTTAGAATATGGGCTTACACAATTCCGTTATATGTTTTGTACAGTAGTTCCATCAGCAATCAAACGATGCGAAATATTTGAACATCGCTTGAGGGTTCAGCAATCAATATTGATTGCGTAGCATTAAAGCCTTTTGAACTTTTATATACTGACTGCGAAAAACTATAAATTACTCAAAGGATTCCTGTATAATAATGTACCCATACTTTTACTTATATTGTTATTTTTAATTTTATTATCTGTACTAATATAATAAAGCGTAAACATACACTTCTTTGTTGCCTAAGATGTCAGCATATTTTTGAATAATTCGTTTTTTAATAAAAAGCCCTACATTTACGACACGCTTTAAGCTATATATTAACACGCTATTAAACTTAGTAGGTAACTAAAGTGGAAAACAACCTTCACTTGGAAAATGGACCATAAACTACAAGCTGCCAATATTAAGGAAGCAAGATTATTATGGTAACGGTAATTTTGACATTTGCAATTGAGAATTTGACATATGTAAACAATAAAATATTTTTTTATAATTCATGCGGATGAAGCCGCATAGGAACATCTAGTACTCGTATGTAATAAAACAAAAGCGTTAAATTCAAGCAATCTAAAAGCTTAGATTCTTTTAAGTGGATTTTTTAAGAGACAAATAATCATAATCATAAGATATCAGAGACAGTGGTAACCAAACCACAGCAAATCAACAAATTCATTCTATTCTTCTCTAACATGAAAGATGAAGGACATGGAAAAGGTTTTGTAAACATTTAAACAAATTTTTAATTAAAAATACTATATTAACAAAATATCACATGAATTACAAATAATTTACAACTCTTCAATGCTTCAAAAGCGGTAGTTGAATTTAGCCAAACCACCAAATTCAGAATTGTATCCGCCAGTTTTTCCATACGTGCCTTGTAGAGAGAAATCGCCGTTCTTACCAACAGGCCACGCTCCACCCGCGCCGGCTGTCACCTGAAACATTTTGTTGTTATAACTACATATATACCTATGGGACCAAACATCTATTCTATTACAGTTTTAATAAGAGCCCCACCAGAAATCGCTTGTTGATATTTCCCTACCGTTAAAGAATATATACAACTAGCTGTTGTTCGCGACTTCGCCTGCGTGAAATTAAAAAATATAGCCTATGTTACTCACTAATAATGTAACTTTCTAACGGTGACAGAATTTTTGAAATCTGCCCAGTAGTTTTTGAGTTATTTCATTACAAACAAAAATCCAAATTGTTCCTCTTTATAATGTTAAGCATAGAAACATAGTCCCTACTATTGGTTTTGATTTTATATAAGATTGAGAAAGAGAAGCAGACTTCTATTTTAAGTCTGTCATATATGAACTTTAGCAATGTTTGAGTCAGTCATTCATACAGATATCTACTATTGGAACAATAGAAAATCCTCACAGAAGTAGGTCCATGTATCATCTTGCTGACGTCTAAAGAGGCGGCAGCATTATCGTTGCGCCAGTTAAGGGCTCCACCGAGATGGCTTGAGTCGCCATAAGGTCCGAGCACTCTCGTGCCGTACGCTTGTCCGTCCAGCTTGCCTCGGTGATCGTCGAAGAAGTTATGCTCGTAACCACCTTTGCCCTGTATAAGTTAAAATAAACATTTATTTATTAACTAGCTTTTGCCAGCCACTCCGTCTGCGTGGAATTTAAAAAACAAAAATTAATAGCTTATGTGTTCTTCCAGACTATCCTCTACATCTATACGTAATTGAATCTAAATTCGTTCAGTCCTTTAGGCTACAAACTCTAACAAACATTCATCCATATAAACTTTCACATTTATAATATTAGTATGACTGTTTGTTTATTTTCTTCAACGTTTATTATTTCTAAGTTACATGTACTCACAAATAGACCGGCGTCGTTTTGTCCGAGTGTACCAAATACGCGGCCATTGTCAGTCTTGTGGTCGAATGTGACGTCACGGCGATGTCTCTGGTACTCCTCTACGTGGCCGCGTGGTATGTACCATACTGGGTAACTGAAAAAGTAAAAATAAAAGTTTCAAATCAAATACCATCGTGAGATATCACCACTAAACTGTACCACGTTAATTTTGATGTACAAATTGTCTTTGAGATGGCATCAGAAATAACATAAGTTGAAGAAAAGTATCGGAACCATGATTTTCAACAACAAATAACTATGATATTTGTTCTTTTGTTTAATTTGAACGATGACATATTAATAATAGATACCTTTCCAGTAGAATATCTTGAGCTGCGACCGCGGCGATAAATCCAAACAATGCCAATAAGAACTTCATTGTTTCTGTAACACAAAAAATACAATTAAAAATGCCATCATATCTCTGTCTTTATTCCACTCACATAAGCTACCGGATTTCGACTTCCATTTCTATCTATTTCTCGTTATCTCAGTCAATACTCCCTTCTTGATCATGTCATCACACAGTTCTCTTTATAGACCTACCTCTACTGGTATACTATACTTATAATAAAAACCCATTTTTTAATATATCATCTACAGACAGTTGGCTGATGGTTGCGTCCTAATGAGGACCTAGACTACCGTAAGTTATGACTAGGTCATAGTATCGTTGGCCCAGTGCGGGTTGACATCACATTTTCAAATGTCTTGGTAACATTTTTAACAACAATAACATTTTCCTTTACCATACGAATGTGTAATTGTAAATATGAAATTCGAAGACATGACGGGCCAACCCTGAATTGCAGAAGCGCATAGACTAAAATAACTTGTTTGAACTTACCTAATTAAGTTAGTAATGGAATAACTTTAAAATAAAATAATTCTATAATCCGTTGGCACTGGGATGGTTTGCTTGAATGATGCTTGTAAGGACTTGCTTCGGTATATATTCTAAAACGCCGGGACTTTACAGGTCTGAACTCCACCCCCCTCTGTTATGTTATTCCCCTAACCCGTCCATTTTAAATTGAGGATAATAAATTTCATTATTTGTATACAACGATAGTATAGTTCAAATGTTATCATTTGAATCCTAAAAGTGAATCCCCAAATATTCAGCTGTCTTAGTAATATTATAAACAAGCTTTCGCCCGTGATTCCGTCTGCGTGGAATTAAAAAAAACAAAAGTAAGTAGCCTATGTGTTCTTCCAGACTATGCTCTACATCTATGCCAAATTTCACTGAGATCCGTTTAGCCGTTTAGGCTACAAATTCTAATAAACAAACATCCATCCATCCATCTAAACTTTCGCATTTATAATATTAGTTAGATCAGATTAGATTAGATTAGATTCGATTAGATTAGATTAGATTAGATTAGATTAGATTAGATTAGATTAGATTAGATTAGATTAGATTAGATTAGATTAGATTAGGAAGTTTAGATAGATGGTTGTTTGTTAAAGTTTGTAGCCTAAACTGCTGGAAGGATCTCGATGAAATTTGAGATTGATGTTGAGAATTGCTTTTGTGTGTTTAATTCACTAGACGGAACGGAATGGAACTAGACTCCAGACGAAGTCGCGGGCGAAAGCTAATATGTGATATTTCTAAACAAAATACATTTTACATTGAAACATTTTCAAAAACACCTAATCACAAATAAAACCTTACTACTGAAATTAAATTAAAGAATAAAATAGATCGATTCATAATCACACTAATAGTCGACTAAGAGCGTGCGCACCTTAGACTAAATTATCGTACAACTGTTGTGCGATTGTCGATTGTTTCGCAGCCAATTCAACTGTTTAGTTGCACAACTAAACATCGAGTAGTATGTGCACCTCCATATAAGGTAATAGAAAACAAAGCGAGACGAAACAGTTGTGCGATAGTATAGTTTCAAGCGTGCACGCTTTTATGGCTTTTATTTACGTATGTAATATTAAATCTACACTAAACACTTTATAATAAACAATTCTGAATAGGGAAAACCTTGCTTTGAAACTCTAGTTAGATTGATTAGCAACATTTAAATGTATTTTACAACAAAAGCAGTATTTATAAGTGCTATAGCACTATACTTACAAAGGAAACTCGGTCACTTAGTTACTTAAGTTTAATTGAAGGCATTACTCTCTCAAACGAACCGAAATTCAAGCTACATTTCAGTAGTAAGGGTTTTAGCTTTACTTCCTAACTTAGAAATAAACGGTACATTACTGTTCTAATCTATCCTAAAATATGAGAACTAGGAGACGGACATAGGATACTATTTATTCCGAGGAAAGATTTGAATTTCTGTATTTCTGTATTTTTGTATTTTTGTATTTTTGTATTTTTGTATTTTTGTATTTTTGTATTTTTGTATTTTTGTATTTTTGTATTTTTGTATTTTTGTATTTTTATATTTTTATATTTTTTTACTTTTGTATGTACAGTAGGACCTCGATGACTCAAACCTCGGTAACTTAAAAATATGTTCTCCCATCAGAGCCCAAAACCTCTATAACATAGATCCTTGATAACTTAAAACCTTTATAACTTAAAATATTTTGTGTTACCCTTGGTGTTAACTTAACCTTAACTTATCAAGCTTCTACTGTATTTGATTCAGGCAAAAACTACTAGGACGATTTTAAAAATTCCTAACATCGTTAGAAAGGTTTTTAATTTCCTTATTATTATGTTTTAATTCCACGCGAACGGAGTCGCGGGAAAAAGCTAGTTTTTAATATTTACTAATACTAATAAAAATATAAGTCTATCTCAGATTATAGTGAACATTGTGTTGAGGTAATTTTATGATATCTTGCGGTTTTATTGTAATTATGTTGATTGTATTAGCGCGGGTTTGCGGTTCATTCGGTCGTTAACTCGACGCACAAGTCAAACTTTGTAAAGTTTGTCGTAATTAATTAAAATTGTAACTCTGAGGTGGAAATGAAATATGTTTCGTTAATTAAACGACGCTAGAAATTAGTGTACTTTAGTTTTTAATATCTATTGATTTGATTGATAAGGAATTTTGGTTTTAAAATTATAATTTACCAGCTTTTGCTCGTAACTACGCCCGCTTGTAATTATAAAAAAAACAGAGTATTACTCTCTGATAAATTACCTTTGTAATGGTGAAAGAATTTTTCAAATTGGATTAGTAGTTTTTAAGTTAATTCAATGCATACAATATTTCTATACTAAAATTATTAAAAAAATACTTTTTTTTTAATCATATTAGTATAGACAAATGGCGTGTACAAATAACTCGACAATTGTGTAATTAAAGATATAGGATATAACTTCAAAAACTTGTATTTATAATTATAATATTATAAGATATCTGGGGCCTAACATGAAAATTCGTGAGAAAGCATTCGTAACGTCTTCGTCAAATTTAGTTACTTAGTTTGTCTATGATTTAAGACACATTTTCTCTTTTCGTACTAGTATCTACATTTTATTTTGTAGTTTGAATGCTTTTTTTTTATATTTCGTACACTTAATTGTTTGTAATTATTTTAGACATGTAATGATGCTGGCAACATCGCATCCGCCATCTTTAACCTTCTATACTATGGTTATAAGGGCGAAAGTGTAGATGGATGGAGGGATGGATGTTTGTTAGAGTTTGTAGCCAAAACGGCTGAAGGGATTTCGATGAAATTTCACATAGATGTAGAGGATAGTCTGGAAGAACTCATAGGCTACTTGCATTAATTCTTTTAATTCCGCGCGAACGGAGTCGCAGTCGAAAGCTAGTAATTTTATAAGTTCGTTTGATTCTCTATTACAAATGTAATTAACTACTATCAGTAGATATTGTGTAATTGACAGATCAGTGTGTCAAATTAAACCTGTCGATACCTTAATTAAACTGAGTCAAAGGCACTGCGTTTGTGATTGCGAACCAAATCAATTACTTGATTTCGACTCCCAGCGACGTCAGCTAACTAATCAAAGATCTATCACGAGTATTTAGACCGCGCAAACCTTTGACTACAATGTTGTGCGCTTGTCAATTGTTTCGCAACCCATTCATTGTTTCAACTGTTTAATTGCACAACTAATAATCGAGTAGTGCTCACCTCCATATAAGCCCATAGGAATCAAAACGAGTAAACAGTTGTGCGATAGTCAAATGTGTGCGTGCTCTTACGTGCCAGTTGTGAGAATTATTCATAATGTCTACAACTTTGTACGATATTTGTTGTACATTACGATCTCACGAATATTCAAGATATGCCCTCAAATATAGAAAATGTACTTTGTATCGCCATATGAAAATATTTGTACCATATATCCGCGGGACAGAACTTGCTTTGTAACTGTAATGTGCAAAGTTAAATTATACTTCTGTAACACGCGATAGCAATTTAAGTTTATTACAAGTTGAAATTTGATACAAATCGAAATTCAAAGTTAAGACATTGGTATTATAATAAATGTTTGTTACAGTGCTTCATATTTATCTATACCCTATACTATAATAAAGCGTAAACACACACTTTGTTGCCTAAGATGTCAGCAA